CATTCCCATCCCTGTGACAGTCTAACCATCGTCAGAGGAGGTTTCATGCACATTACCCGGTGCCATGTCCCACCTGACGGATATAAAAATTATTATTTCTGGCCCAATGGCTGTAAAAGATGTGCAGGTGCTTCCCAAGAAAGCCCCCCCCCCCCCAAAGTTTCTGTGTTTATGTTTTGCCGAGTCTGTCCGCAGCACCGCCAGGCGGGCAACGCAGGGATCCTGCCGAGCCCAGAGCTTTTATTGAAGCTCCTTGCACGTACTGATAGGGCAAGATGTGCTACAAAACGCTCAGTGTTGGGTCTCTCCACCCATGCGCAACCAGCATCAAAAGATGGCAGGCAAGCAGAAGCAAATGTACAACCCAATGCCACATTGCTGTTCAAATGTAAATATATGTCAGCTGAATTATAATGAAAGGATCTATTAATGAACCCATATCCCAATGAGTACTTGCACTGTTTGTCAAATGTTGCTCAGGCCTTGTCAACTCGCTGCGGAAAGCAATGTCGAGCAACACAGTGAACTCTACGGATGGAGCAGCTGCAAGCCATCAATCTGCGGTGGTTCTTAAATGCCTGTTACTGGCGACTAAAGCACGAAACTGCCCACCATACGAATTATGGAGCGCTCTGCGGTCTTGCGCAGAGCCTGCATTGGCGTGTAGGTTAGCTTGCTCTAAAAAAACTGGTTTAAGTTACGTTTAAGGGAGTTCGGTCTAGAACCCGCTCTCCTATTTGAAAGAGGTGTCGCTGGAGATCGAACTTCGTTATCGAACTTGGCGCTGACTACAACGATAAAGCAGATTTACATTGGAGATTGAATTGAATGTGAAACTTGGAAGGTGAAAATGAGTTAAAATCGTATATTCGTTTGTGATGTTGACAACAGTTGAAGGGGTTAGCGGGTGAGGCCGCCCTTGCCCAGAACTACCGACCGATGCAGCCTTGTGGCCTGGCTTGACCTGCCAGTTGCTACAATATCACTGATACCTTATCGTCATTAGTTATTAGTCTATTCAGTTATTACTGTTGTTGGCTGTGGTGTGGCGCCTGCTCAACCTGCTCCCCGTTGCTGCTGGACGTCGTGCGTCATCAATCTTCTTCATGGTTTAGTTACGTGGTATTGGTCGAGTTGTTGCCGGTCTGTCTGCTACTGGCGTCCTGTCTGCGGTCGTCTCCATCTCTCTCTCTCCTCTTCTCTCTCGGTCTGTCCGAGGTTTCTGCCTGTTAAAGGCAGTTTTCCGCTGGCCCCTGCTCCCAAGGGGTCTTGCTCCGGATGGTGGTACTGGGGTCTCCTGCTAAACTGTAAAAAGGAGTTCCGGTCCTAGGACACTGCTCGTATTCGAAAAGTGTCCTGAGATAACTGGTGGTCTGTTATGAATTGGCGCTATACACAATAAAAATTC